AAAAAAAAAAAACAACTTGGCAATATAAATGCTAAAACCAAAATATCAATACAAATTTTTTTATCGGTTACTCAGTATGTCTTCTTCCATTATAATAGGAAACAAATACCTCCAATCCATTTTCTCCACCAAAAAGGCACATATGAGGAAACCAGTGCGATTGAAACCATGGGTACAATGAACACCTAGAAAATAAAGTAACTATGGTGTAAAATTAATAAACCACTTCAGATGCATAGTTTAAAATTCCAAACTGCAATCAAAACATTTAAATAACTTTATAAAATAACTACATTAAAAAAAAACTTGGAACATCCTGTCATAACTATTAATAACTTGCCAGTGTAAGTCGCTTAGAATCTAATTTATAACACTAGCTACAAGTTTAAATGTAACATATTGGTTTATTGGGTAAAAACTGTCTCTATTGTCTAAAGATTTCTCTTAACGAAAATATTACAGAACTTCCGGGCAACATGGCGCTATAGTCAGAAGCACCACACTGTCTCTCCGCAGCAAAGATCAGAAAAACTAAGTCAAACAGAGTCACACGTCAATCCTGAAACCCTATGCATCAAATGAAGAGATAAAGAACTCAGCGAAGCACCAAATGGAATAAGAAACTGACTGAGAAGAGAAAGCGAGGAGAGATACATGCAGAGGTCCCCTATCAGCTACCACAGCATGGATCTGCTATCTTGGACTCCTATCGGAGATCGGCGAACAGGGGGTATGAGAAAGCAGCTTCACAGAACTTCCAGCAGGAGAAAACAATCAGTAACCAGCAATATAGGCTTTTCCACCCCCCACCCTTCTTCACACCTGCTTAGCCTTCTCTGCTTCCTGCAGCCACAGTCTCTTGGCCGGGAAGCATCAGCTTCACCCTGGTGTCACTTGGGTTCCACCTGCCGGCACTCGCTGGCTCCGAGTGCCTTTTGTTAGCTGCTGGTGTTGCTTTTTCCGCTTTTTTAAATTTCTTCCTTACCTCTCACCACCTCCCCCTCCATCTTTGCTTCTTCCTGAAAGGCTGCAGAACACCACTCAACTGTGAAACTGCTTCACAGCCTGTGCCGCCATGCTGGTGGAACTTCTGGGGCTTTTTTGTCTGTCTGTTTGTTTGCTCTGATTTGTTCTGTTTTGATTTGTTTCTTTTCTTTTTCTTTTCTCAGCTTGGGAACCCCTTCTAGCTGGGCAGTACCACGCAGCTTGGAAGCTACTCCCTTACTCTGCGCAGACACACGGGGACATTACTGGGGACACTTCTTTTTCTCTTGTTTTTTTTTTTCTTTTTTCTTTTCTTGTCTCTCTTATTCCTTTTGTCTTTCTTCATATCCAGTCTCTCGATTTATTCATTTTTTTCTTTTACCTTTTTCTTTTTTTTTTT